CTGGCAGGGAGGGAGGGCGGAGAAGAACGACGATGCGAGAAGCGTATGATCATGAGGATAACGAGGATGATGATGGTGATGGTGATGGTGATGGTGATGGTGATGGTGATGGTGATGGTGATGGTGATGGTGAGGGTGAGGGTGATGGTGGTGATGATGCTGATGCTGTGCTGCTGCTGATGATGCTGATGATGATGGTGATGGTGACGGTGATGAAGATGATGAAGATGATGATGATGTTGATGATGATGATGGTGATGATGATGATGGTGATGATGATGCTGATGATGGTGATGCTAATGCTGATGCTGATGCTGATGCTGATGATACTGACGATGATGCCGCTGTTGATGACGATGGTGATGCTGACGATGATGGGGAGAGGAGGAGGACAGGTCAGAGTAGACCCAAGAAACATCAACGATGGTGCAACACACCCTCCCGCCCTACGTCTCTCGTCATAAGTCCCTGCAACCATTTCGCTTCACTACGGGAAGAATCGGGACACGCCCCCATGAAGGACGAGCGACCCGTGTTCCTGCAGGTTGGGCGAGGGATCAACCCCTTGCTGGGGGAAAACTAAAGTTACCATTCTGGCTAGAGGGAATTCGAAGAGGTAGGACGGTGGAGACCAAACATGAGTCCGACTGCAGCCCTGTTTTGAAAGGAAACCGCCGTGCACCCGCGTAGCCATTGCACACTGCTTTGCTGCGCCTCTGGTCACAATCCACGAGAGAGTCTCAAGCAAGAACCCCGTTTTGAAAAGCGGCTGCCCACCCCTGTAACTCTTGAACAGCCCATGGCCACCGTAGAGAGCAAGTTTCAAGCAAGATCCCCGCGTAAAGAAGGAGCCGCCCTCCGTTCTTCGCGGGCGCTGGACTGGACTGGAAGAAACCGCGCCTAGACGGCGCATCGGCTGACCGTCGCACAAGAAAGGAGGACGTTAAACGCGAATGTGCGCGGCGCTAAATCGGGAGCTACGTTTTGAACACGGGGCTCTCTCCATCCTGGCTGTTTTTCCCTGGCCATCCTGTGGTGTTGGGCCTTCTCTCGAAGAGACAGCGCACCACGTCCTTCCCTCCCGCCTCCTCCTCCCGCTTCCCCCTCCCTCCCCCAATCATTGCCTCTACCCTCCGCGTGTCCACAGTTTGAACACACCCCTCACACGCCTCGTGGTCCCATGGGGGCGCAACCGAAGTCTCCAGTGGTTGTTTTCGCATGCGCCCCCCTCAGCAGCTGCAAGCTATGAAACGCTCCATTGAAATATTGCTTCACTCACCAGGCATCCGCAATCGCAATATTGGAGGAAATCTGTCTCCTTGTTACTCTCCCCTCTGATCAAATAGCGCAGTGTCCGGCGATACAGAAGTTAGCGGGGCACCGAAATCCCACCAGCCCTCTGGGCGTAGGTGGTCTAGAACAGATCCTCTTCCACCCCTCCATCTTCCCCCTTGGGGAGGGGTTTACCCCTCCCCCTACCCCCTCCCCTGGACCTGGACGGGGGGTTTCGCTGGTAGTTGGAGCGTCCAACACGGCCTCGGCGAGGAAGCCAAACTCATCGGTTTTACTAGGGTTTTGGCCCCATGTTGGCCTCTTGGGGGGGCAGTGCTAATTGACCCCACCCTCTTCTTTGATCGATCTCCTCCAAGATGGCCCCAAGAGGGGCCCAGGAGGCCCCAAGAGGCGCCAAGATGGCCCCAAGATGGCCCCAAGATGGCCCCAAGAGGCCCCCAAGAGGCCCCCAAGAGGGCCCCAAGCGGCCCCCAGAGCCCCCCCCCCCGACGCACTCAAGACGCCCAAAGCTCCCCAGGATCGTCAAGAGACCCCCAAAACGACACAAGAGGCCTCCAAAAAACTCCCACGAGATATCCCAAGAGGCTCCGCGAGGCATTCAAGATACCTCCAAGAGACCCCCCAAAAGGCTTCAAGAGAATCCCCGAGACACCCTAGATCCCTACCCCAGACGCTCCAAGAGATGTCCACAACAACTCCCAAGAGACATCCTAAGAAGCTCTTATGTTCGTCATGTTTCCTCCTCCTTCTCCTGGTCCTCCTTCTCCTCCTCGTCCTCCTTATCCGCCTCCTCCTCCTCGGCGGAGCAACTGAAACCACCACAGTTGCAACTGAGACCGCCCCCGGTGGCGCCTAGGGGGCCGGGGGGCGGGCGGAGCAACTGAGACGGGTGGGCGGAGCAACTGGGCCAGCAACTGACCCAACTGACCCAACTGACCCAACTGACCCAGACTGCCCCACACTGCCCCAGACCGCCCCAACTGCCCCACTGTCCCAGACTGCCCCAGACTGCCCCAGACTGGCCCAAACTGCCCCAGAGTGCCCCAGACTGCCCCAGACTGCCCCAGACTGCCCCAGACTGCCCCAGACTGCCCCAGACTGCCCCAGACTGCCAATGGGGCCAGGGGGCGGGCGGAGCAACTGAGACGGGTGGGCGGAGCAACTGGGCCAGCAACTGACCCAACTGACCCAACTGACCCAGACTGCCCCAGACTGCCCCAGACTGCCCCACACTGCCCCAGACTGCCCCAGGCTGCCCCAGAGGGCCCCAACTGGCCCAGACTGCCCCAGACTGCCCCAGACTGCCTCAGACTGCCCCAGACTGGCCCCAGACAGGCCCCAGACTGCCCCAGACTGCCCCGGACTGCCCCAGACTGCCAAGGGGGCCGGGGGGCGGGCGGAGCAACTGAGACGGGTGGGCGGAGCAACTGGGCCAGCAACTGACCCAACTGACCCAACTGACCCAACTGACCCAGACTGCCCCAGACTGCCCCACACTGCCCCAGACTGCCCCAGGCTGCCCCAGAGTGCCCCAACTGGCCCAGACTGCCCCAGACTGCCCCAGACTGCCTCAGACTGCCCCAGACTGCCCCAGACTGCCCCAGACAGGCCCCAGACTGCCCCAGACTGCCCCAGACTGCCCCAGACTGCCCCTGAGGGGGCCGGGGGGCGGGCGGAGCAACTGAAACGGGTGGGCGGAGCAACTGGGCCAGCAACTGACCCAACTGACCCAACTGACCCAGACTGACCCAGACTGCCCCAGGCTGCCCCATGCGCCAAGAGGGCTTCCGCGAAGGGCCCGAGAGAGGCCCTCCTGGACCCTTGCAGGGAGCAACGCTCCGGTCCCAGCTGCACCCGGGGCCGCGCGTGCAGCGGGGGGCCTCGACGGAGGGCGGGGGGCTCCCAGAGCCTTCCGACGGGCTCAAAGGCGGCCCCAAGACAGGCCCAAGACGTTCGGAGCCTGCCCAGGGCGTTCGGAGGGGCCCAAAGGCGCCCCAAGACAGGCCCAAGAGGGCACCAGGGCAGCTTATAATTATAGCAGGAGTGCAGTATCCCCAAACAGGGTTTTTAGACCCACTGCGGTTTCCAAGGTCGATTGCGTGCCCGCCTAGTGCGGGCTGGCATGGCATGTTAAAACATGCCTCCTCCTCCTCCTCCTCCTCCTCCTCCTCCTCGTCCACCTCCTCTTCATCCCGAAAGGCATCTCGGAACCCAGAGTTGCGAGGATGTCTCCAGCGTAACGGGCTGGACCACCTCGCGCGCGGCATTTCGGACCCCAGAGTTGCGACGATGTCTCGGGCGAAACGTGCTGCGAGGAAGTCTCAGGCGAAACGGGCCGGACCACCTCGAGCGCGGCGTCTCAGAGCTCCGAGTTGCGGGGGCCTCCTGGTGCCTCCTGGGGCCTCCTGGGGACCTCCTGGGGCTTCCTCCCGGGCCTCCTGTGGCCTCCTGAACTCCACCTGAGGTTTCCTGAAGCATCTTGGGGCTCCCAGGGGGGATATCTAACCTGTGGCCGTTTGGGCCTCTCCAAATACAGGGGGGGGCCACAGGAGCAGGAAAAATCAACGAATCGACACCGGATGTGTATTAACTTGACACGTTCTGATAGAGGGCCTCCTGGGGCCTCCTGGGAGCCTCCTGGGAATCTCCTGCGGACCCCTGGGGCCTGTCCTGGGCGTCCTGCGGCCTCCTGAAGCTCTCTGGGACCTCCCCCTCCTCCTGCCTGCTCCCTCATGCACATCATCCGCCTCCTCCTTCTCCCTTCCATCCTCCTCCTCCTCCTCCTCCTCCTCCTCCTCCTCCTCCTCCTCCTCCACCTCCTCTTCATCGCGAACGGCATTTCGGAGCCTAGAGTTGCGAGGATGTCTCCAGCGTAACGGGCTGGACCACCTCGCGCGCGGCATCTCGGACCCCAGAGTTGCGACGATGTCTCGGGCGAAACGTGCTGCGAGGAAGTCTCAGGCGAAACGGGCTGGACCACCTCGAGCGCGGCGTCTCAGAGCTCCGAGTTGCGGGGGCCTCCTGGTGCCTCCTGGGGCCTCCTGGGGACCTCCTGGAGCTTCCTCCTGGGCCTCCTGTGGCCTCGTGAACTCCACCTGGGGTTTCCTGAAGCCTCTTGGGGCTCCCAGGGGGGATATCTAACCTGTGGCCGTTTGGGCCTCTCCAAATGGAGGGGGGGCACAAGAGCAGGAAAAATCAACGAATCGACACCGGATGTGTATTAACTTGACACGTTCTGATAAGCGGCCTCCTGGGGCCTCCTGGGAGCCTCCTGGGAATCTCCTGGAGACCCCTGGGGCCTGTCCTGGGCGTCCTGCGGCCTCCTGGTGCCTCCTGGGCCTCCTGGGGACCTCCTGGAGCTTCCTCCTGGGCCTCCTGTGGCCTCCTGAACTCCACCTGAGGTTTCCTGAAGCATCTTGGGGCTCCCAGGGGGGATATCTAACCTGTGGCCGCTTGGGCCTCTCCAAATGGAGGGGGGGGCACAAGAGCAGGAAAAATCAACGAATCGACACCGGATGTGTATTAACTTGACACGTTCTGATAGAGGGCCTCCTGGGGCCTCCTGGGAATCTCCTGGGGGCCCCTGGGGCCTGTCCTGGGCGTCCTGCGGCCTCCTGGACCTCTCTGGGGCCTCCTGAGGCTCGCAGGGTCCCATGGAGGATATGTAACATGTGGCCTTCTGGGCCCCCAGGCTGGACCACCTCTTG